CACACTCATCACAACTCATCTTAACTGCCGGTCAGTGGTATGGTAGTTAGAGTCATCAAGCAAGGCAAGTAAGTAAGTAACTCAACATCAAACAAACACAAAATGCATACTCTCTTTTTTATCTTCTTTACCTTCCATTCTCAACAACATTTTCCTCTCTTTTTTTGTCAATAATCAATGCACCTCTCATTTATGTACAATATTCATAATCTCTTCTTCTCCCATTTTTATTCAATCCTCTATGGGAAAAACCAAACTTTCCACCCTTTTCTCTTCCAATAACAATCACCACTACACTCTTCCTCTTTCCAATACCATTAACCAAACTCTTGTAAACAAACCCAATTCACACAAAGATACTTTTCCCTTTTCACTCTTCAAATTTTTTCTATGCTTTATCTGTACAAGTATGCTTCCATTCTTGTCTGTTATGCTAAAGTTTCGTTTTTTTGGTGTTTTACTTATCTGGGTTGTGTTCATTTGCAGAGAAAGTTGATGGAGGATCAAGAACGGAGGAAGAAGAGAAAGTGTACTCTTGGTTATACACCTTGGCTCATGCTGAGAAAAACATGGTCTTTGAGTATGTTAGGTCAACTGAAAGAGGCAAGTATTTGGATTCTACTAGTAGTAGTAGTAGTAATTTTTCAATGTGCCTTTGATTGCATGTTTTATGTGCTGCTTCTTAACTGTTTGGCAAATTTCCTCAATGAAAGAAATATGAAAGGAAAAGAATGATATTAGATTTTAAATTGCGGCTGCCATTGTGAATTGTGAACATTGATATTGCAGAGAATTGTGGTCAAATGTGCAGCTAATGTAGTCTAGTTTAGTGTTTTCTTTGTTCTCACTAGTAAGTTTAACATTGCCCTCTAGTTTTTGTTTTTTGTATTATTTTTCCCGTTTTGTGTTAAAGGTATTCTTGAATTTCTTTGCAGGCTTAAGTTTTACTGAAGCTGAGAGGAGGCTGCAGGAAAACGGACCAAATGTTCCCCTTGAGTATTCTTTTCCAAGCTCGTGGCATCTTCTATGGAACGCTCTTTTCCATCCTTTCAATATGATTCTGATTGTTTTATCTTCAATGTCATTCATTGCCCGTGACTATCCAAACGGATTCATCATGTTCATATTACTTTTTATCAGTGTCATCCTTCGCTTCTGTCTGGTACTTTTAGATTAGTTTGTTGATTAGATTCAATGAACGAATAGTTCTCTTCGCTTATATTTTTGTTCTTACTAATCTTACATCTTTATTGGGGATTTTAGGAACACAAAAGCTCAAAAGCAGCGAAGAAGCTTTCAGAATTTTTAAGCTGTCCTATAAGAGTTCAAAGATGTGCTGGTAGAATTGAGCAGAAAGAATTGACAGTTCAAGTTGATCACAAGGATGTAGTTCCAGGTGACATTGTTATTTTTGAACCTGGAGACCTCTTTCCTGGAGATGTCAGACTGTTATCTTCAAAACACCTTGTTGTAAGGTAATTCAATTAAATAGGAAGTTTACTTCTTTTATAGATTGGAGACTCCTATAAAGATGTTTCCTACCATTTCCTTTTCAGCTATCTAATTATCACATAGCGATTTCATTACCTTCTTAACAGTCAGGCCTCACTAACTGGGGAATCTATAACAACTGATAAAACTGCTGATGTTCGAGAAGATCACATCACTCCTTTACTAGATTTAAAGAACATTTGTTTTATGGTTAGTAACACAACTCCTCCTCCCTATTTTGTATCAATGGTAGTTATAGATTTAGAGTGTGTGTAGTTCTGTAGTGACAACGGTTGTTTTTGAATGGATTGGTTATGGCTAAAATTATGTTGATTCTGAATGTAAAGTGATTTATGTTTGTATACATTCATGTAAAAGTAAAACTGAGTTAAACAATAAATTTAAGACAAAGCTCCAAATTCTAGCTTCAAGTTGGAATCAATTCCGGAAGCAAAATCGATTCTACACCTCTGAAATCAATTTTGCCACCTCCAAAAGTGGAACCAAAGATACACAAAGTTGCATCTCACAAAGCCCTAACTAGAGGATTTGATAGATGGAACATCATGCTAGGAATAAACTTCTTTTATTTTACTGGTATAATGCCATATTTATTTGCATAATGGACTGGCATTGATGAGCCGTCAGCTTAATAACAGAATTTTTTCTTCTGAAAAACGATTAATCATGAACATTGCAGGGAACAAATGTGGTATCAGGTACTGGAACGGGTTTAGTTATTTCAACTGGATCCAATACTTACATGAGCACGATGTTTTCAAAAATTGGGAAGAAGAAGCCACCAGATGACTTTGAAAAGGGACTCAGATGGATATTTTACACGCTTATTTCCGTTATGGTAGTAGTTGTTACAATTATGTTTGTGACAGACTACACAGCATCTAAGAATTTGAGCCAGAGTATTCTCTTTGCCATCTCAGTTGCATCTGCCCTCAATCCTCAGATGCTTCCCCTCATCATTAACACATGCCTTGCGAAAGGAGCACTTGCTATGGCTAAAGACAGATGTATTGTAAAAAGTCTAACAACCATGCGCGAGATGGGATCAATGTAAGTGTAAATTCACATTTAAAATCAACTGATTGATGACTTGGACGCTAAATTCATGTCACTTGCTCAATTTATACTTGAATCTGCACACTAACACAAATAAATAAAAGGATGCAACAGCATCATTAAAAATGACTGAAAGCAAAAGATCCAAAAAATTGCAAGCAATATAAGATTAAGAGGTTTGTTTTCTGTTGCAGGGATATCCTTTGTATTGACAAGACAGGCACCCTTACCATGAATTATGCAATCTTGGTTAACCATCTCGATTGTAGGGGCTTACCCCGAGAAAAAGTTCTACACTATGCCTTCCTCAGTTCTTACTTCAAGACTGAGCAAAAGTATCCTCTAGATGATGCAATTCTAGCACATGTATATTCAGATGGATTCAAGTTTCGGCCATCTAAATGGAAGAAGATCAATGAGATTCCTTTTGACTTCATAAGAAGAAGAGTATCTGTCATGTTAGAAACAGACGATAGACACTCGCAGTTCTTTGGCAGGTTCATGGTAACAAAAGGAGCACTGTTGGAAGTTATAAATGTTTGTTCATTTATTGAGAATTTTGATACAGATGAAATCTCTACATTCTCCTCAGATGACTATCAGAGGATTTTAAATCTATCAGAAGAATTGAGCAATGAAGGGTTAAGGGTTATAGCAGTAGCTATAAAGAAGCTGGAAATGCAGCAAACATGCGAAACAAGTAAAGGAAGCAAGAGAGGCAACCATGATTTCGAAAGAGACATGATATTCCTTGGAGTTATAACATTTTTTGACCCGCCTAAGGACTCGGCAAAGCAAGCACTTTGGTGTTTAGCGGAGAAGGGAGTGAAAGCAAAGGTTTTAACAGGTGACTCACTTTCATTAACCACAAGAATATGCAGAGAAGTTGGCATAAGTACCACTCATGTTATAACAGGACCTGAGCTAGAAGAACTTGATCAAGACACTTTCCACGAGACCGTTAAAAGAGCAACGGTACTAGCTCGTCTCACGCCAATGCAGAAACTCCGAGTCGTTCAATCCTTGCAGACAGTAGGAAACCATGTCGTTGGATTCTTGGGAGACGGTGTGAATGATTCACTAGCATTGGATGCTGCCCATGTAAGCATTTCTGTGGACTCAGGTGTACCCATTGCCAAAGACATGGCAGATATAATCTTACTAGAGAAAGATCTCAACGTGCTCGTCGCGGGCGTTGAGCACGGCCGTCTCACCTTTGGCAACACAATGAAATATGTAAAGATGTCAGTTATTGCTAACTTAGGAAGTATCATTTCACTTCTAATAGCAACATTGTTCCTTAAATACGAACCCTTAACTTCTAGACAGCTTCTTACACAGAATTTCATCTACAGTCTTGGACAAATCGTTATCCCTTGGGACAAAATGGACGAAGAATATTTAAAAACTCCTCATAAATGGTCGGAACGGGGCTTACCAATGTTCATATTATGGAACGGACCCGTCTGCACTTTCTGCGATGTTGCAACAATTTTGTTTCTTTTGTTCTATTACAAAGCTAATGAAGATGAGAAATTTTTCCATACAGCTTGGTTCATTGAGGGTCTTCTCATGCAGACTCTCATTGTTCATTTGATAAGAACTGAGAAAATCCCTTTTGTACAAGATATTGCATCTTGGCCTGTGATTTTCTCTACTCTTGTTATATCTGCAATTGGAATTGCAATTCCATTTACTCCTATTGGAAAGGTTATGGAATTCACAGTTTTACCTCTCTCCTATTTTGGATTCTTGTTTGTTATTTTTCTGGGATATTTTACACTTGGTCAGATTGTAAAGAGACTTTATATATTTGTTTATAAGAGATGGCTTTGAATATCAATTTTTGAATATAGTTATGCTTTGAATATGTGATGTTTGTTTTAAATTGATTGGTGTGAAAGTGAAAAAAATGAGAAAAATAAAAATTTGACAGCTGTGGGATTTGAACCCACGCCCTTTCGGACTAGAGCCTGATTCTAGCGCCTTAGACCACTCGGCCAAGCTGTCTTGATGTTATCTGTTTTCATCAAAATCTATTAATTGTAATATTGTTTCTATGAAAAAAGATTAAGCGTACAATTTGAGTAAGAAAAAAGGTCCTACCGGGAGTCGAACCCAGGTCGCTGGATTCAAAGTCCAGAGTGCTAACCACTACACCATAGAACCTTTGATGGTGATTTTTCCTAATGATACGGATCTATTACTTATTTTATGTTTCCTGAATCCAATGCTATTATTTCTTAAATATTTTACTGACCCTTATGTTACAAATGTGACCAATTTACTAAAACTTTTATATATGAATTGTGTTGCCATTTTTCTGATATATATGTATATATGTATACAAAGCAAGCACATGGAAATTGGACTGATCTTTGCAAATGAAAGACATAAAAACATAATCATGTTCCATTTCTTTTCCTAACAAACTACGTAGTGTTATTTTTATATGATCTTTCACTAGATGAAACACCAACAGAAGCACTATCATAATCATTATCAATTCTAACAACCTGAAATTCTCCTAATCCTATTCCTTCCACAACAACATTATCAAAATTTTCTATTCGTCCTTCTTGGTTCCGACTCTCCCCAGAAACATTTGGAACAACCTGTTCACTGCCAGTGACCATAACACTCACCTCTGCAGCAGCCTCATTGATCACAGGAGCCCGGCACAACGGACAAGTCTGATGCGATCGAAGCCAAGTATCAATACACAGAATATGAAAAGCATGGCTACACTTAGGCAAAATCCTGAGACTCTCATCCTCTTGAAACTCACCAAGACAAACAGAACAGTCTGTCCCATCAACAAGTCCTTCGTTTTTTCTATATTTCAAAACTGCAATAGAATCTATCACAGATTCTTGAAGGCCTGTAGTTCGAATGAACCATATCGGGTGATCAACAACGCTCCCATCATCATCATCATCACGACCATTAGTTGTAGAATCTCTATAACCATGGACGTCAAACAATATCGGCATGATTCTCCTATCGCGGTCATTGTCATGGTTATATCTCCTTAGCCATATGACAAAGGTTAAAAAGAGCATAACCGTCGTAACAAAGCACGCCATGGCAATCAAACCGATATGAAGGGTATGAAAATGATGATATGTTTGATAGGAAGGTGGTTGTTGAGGGGAAGAATTTGGGCTATCATTGCAACGATAGAGATCAAAAACCATTGCTGGGGCCTGGGAAGAATTGAGAATTTTAGTGAGAAGAAGAGTGGAACATGGAAGATATGTGTAGAGAAATTAGTGGTGTTATGATACTGATTAAGATGGTAATAAGAATTTAAGGCAATTTCACATTCAATACGAAACTTACGAGTTTACCTTGATTTTGAGTTTACGCGTTATTTTAGTGGTGGTGGAGCCCTCGAGTTTTTGGTAACATTGTGATTTTGTTGAAAGTTTAAAGGGTAGTTTATGGCTTTATGCTAAAAGTGATATGATTTACGTCTTAATATTTTTCAATTAATAACAAAGGCGTGTTTTTTCGTTGTAGAAATTGTTTTACATAACTTGTTTTAGGTGATAATTCAAATTTATCGATCTAAACTACTAATAAAGGTGTTTTATTGGTTGGAATTATTTTTTTTAAAGAAAATGTCTACAATAAATGAATTTGAGGAAATATAGTTAAAGTTAAAAAATAAATAAGTACCACCTAAAAAATACGAATTTAATTAAAAAAATTGATTTCAAAAAGTAATTGAACCCAAAACCTTTAAATCACGTCCTATATCTTTACCACTAATATACATTGATGAAATTCGCATGGTTTATAGCAATATTAAAGAATTCTAAATTTAAAACGAAAAAAATATAAAATTTGTATTAATGGAGTCTCAAACAATGAAAATGGAAGTGTACATGAATTTGTCATTGAGAATCATCGAAGATTTATAAGTATTTGATCTTCCAATTTATAGAGTTGTTTATGACTCCTCGATTTTCTTCTAATGGGAATGAAGAAAGAATTTCTAATAAGTTTTTTTTTTTTTTTACAAATGAGAACCATAACTATAAATAACCTTAGGGTTATTTTTTTTAGTTTTCAATATTTTAATTTGACCCCTCATCAAATTAGATATTGACTTATGGTATCTACACAATTAACTTTCATGATATTTATGCTTTTAGCCACAGACTTATTATTAACTAGACCACCATAACTTTGACTAATTACATAATAGCTCTAACACATGTAATATTATATTTGGGACTCAAAATTTTTAACAATCTCCCACTGGTCACATATATAATCATACACATGCGTTAGACTTTATGAGCTCAAAATTCGTCATTATATTCCTTAAGCATATCCAAATTATCTCGCCCATTAGTCATGCCAATATATAAAATCAAAGTGATTTTCATTATATCAATCATAACTAAACTCATCAATAATCACAAAAAGTGACATAACTAAATGACATGGATCCATCATGAAATGTGCAACATGAAAATAATATGAAACTATTATGTATATGTCGATTTTCAACTGGTCCTACTTTACTTTAGTGAGATCACTCAATAACTTTAATGTATAAAATATAAATTGTTGAATATCAAAACTTAAATAATTTGAAAATTATCCAAAATCATAGTATGCATACATAATACTAAAACATAGAACATAAAATTCATAATCGACAACTCCCACTAAACCAAAGACTCCTCTAACGGTAAAACACTCATGTGAGTATGGTGCTCATGAAAGACCTTGGATGGAAGACCTTTTGTAAGAGGATCTATTAAAATGAAGTTTGTGCCCAACTGTTCTATGAAAATCTATCCACTTTGTGCCTTTTCCTTAACAACTAGGAACTTGATTTTGACTTGGTTGAGTTTATATTATTATTGGGATACATGACGGTTGATTTATTGTAACAATATAACTTAAGTGGCCTTTCAATTTCACCCATAATTCGCAGCCCATTGACAAGGTTCCTAAGCCAAATCCCATGGTTGAATGTCTCTTAACATGCTATAAACTATGTTGCCATGGTGGATGAAGCCGTAAGAGTTTGCTTGGCACTGCGCCAAGAAACTGCACCACCAGCCAACATGTATATATAGCCAGAAGTGGATCTTTTTCTATCTTGATATTCAGTAAAATTTGAGTCAGAGTATCCAGTGATCTTTAACTGGTCTGACCTCCTATATGTGAGCATATAGTCTTTTGTTCTCTTTAGATACCTCATAACCTTTTTGACTGCTTTCCAATGATCCATTCCTAGATTGCTCAAATATATTCCTAACATCCATTGAGGAATGTCGTCTTGACATCCATTCGATAGATTTCCATATCATAATGTGCAACAAGAGCCATGATTGTCCCAAAAGAGTCTTTCAATAAAACCAGAGAGAATATCTCTTTAAAGTCAGTCTCTTCCTTTTGAGTATAACCCTTAATCATAAGACGAGCTTTATACCTTTCCACATTACCATTAGAATCCCGTCTGATCTTAAAATGCATTTGCAACCCATGGGTTTCACACCTTTTGGTAATGGGACAAGCTCACAAACTTTATTGTCTCGCATAGATTTATACTCCTCCTTCATTGCTTCAAACCACTTACCATTATTTTCCTCATGTTCTTGAAGAAAGACTATATAATCATCGAGAATATCATTTTTCTTTTCTCTAATTGATCTCCGCAAAGGTATTGGTTCTTGTAACACCCCGAATTTTATATTAATTATTTAATTAATTAATTTAGTATGATTATATGAGTCTATGTGAAGTAGATGGTGTTTTGATGTTTTGATGCTTATTTATGATGTTTTGGTGCCTTGTGTGAGTCCTTGTAACGGTATATGATGTGTGTTTGTGATGCAACTGTAATGTAAATAGCGATGATTTGATGAATAATGTGTTTAAGATGACGAGTTATGTGGTGTAGGATGAGTTAGTAAGAAGGTTTGGAATTTAAATAATTATTTTGGAATTATTTAGATTTAATAATGATTAATTGGAGTTATTTGGATTTAAGTAATTATAATAATAGAATAATAGAAGTGTAGAGAAAATAAGGACAAGATGGTAATTAGTAGAAAGAGTGAGGACATGATGGTAAATAGTATAATGCTAAGTGAGGGCAATTGAAGAAGATATTAAGGGTCCTTGTGATAACTAAGGGAAAAGAGAATTGTATGATCATTTGGTACGATCGAGATATTGGGAGAAGAGCAAAGGAAGACTTAGCACCTTGGTCAACAGTCATCAAGAGCACTACATCAAGAAACAGTTCAGATACGATCCAGATACGAATGTCATTCTGCTACTTATTCAAGACTTTCATACATCGAGAAACAGTTCAGATACGATCCAGATACGGATATCATTCTGCTACTTATTCAAGATTTTCATACATCAAGAAACGGTTCAGATACGATCCAGATACGAATATCATTCTACTACTTATTCAAGATTTTCATATCTCGAGAAACAGTTCAGATACGATCTAGATACGGATGTCATTCTGCTACTTATTCAAGATTTTCATACATCGAGAAACAGTTCATATACGATCCAGATACGAATGTCATTCTCCTACTTATTCAAGATTTTCATACATCAAGAAACAATTCAGATACGATCCAGATACATATGTCATTCTGCTACTTATTCAAGATTTTCATACATCGAGAAACAGTTCAGATATGATCCAGATACGGATGTTATTCTGCTACTTATTCAAGATTTTCATACATCAAGAAACAGTTCAGATACGATCCAAATACGGATGTCATTCTGATACTTATTCAAGATTTTCATACATTGAGAAACAGTTCAGGTACAATCCAGAGACGGATTCATCCTGATACTTACTCCAAATTCTCCTCTAAATACAGTTCAAATACGATCTAGAGACGAATGTCATTCTGACACCCATTCAACACATGTTTCAAGTACAGTTCATATACAATCCCAAGACGGATGTCATCCTAACACTCATTAAATACATGTTCAAGTACAATCACGATATAGATCCATCCACAAAATCTCTGCATGTACTTTTTTCCAGCATGGTACAAGGGGCAGAGATAGTTGGAAACAAAGTCACTATCACATACAAGCCAGTGATACCTACATTCCCCACAGAGCCGAGACAACCAAAGTCCGATATCCAGGTCCCCAAGCAAGAATTCCTTCCCCAGCGGGTTCCTTCAGAAAGCTGATATCTGCATTCTCCAGTCGAGTTTTATAACCATGAGCAGTTTATAAAGCCATCTCCCGAGCAGAGTTTATTTCTCTGACGACAGAAATTCAATCTCCAACAGAATTCATTATCACCAGCAACGGAAATTCATCCCCAGCTGAGTTTATTTCTCCAAATCAGCAGATCCATCAACAGAGTATCTCCTCTCCAACAGAGTTATTCTCCCGCAGAGCTATCATTAGACAGGGTCTCTTCCGGCATGATATCCGTAAACGAGGGGCAAATCCCCAACATAGTCATCTTGGTTCACCATCCCCAACAGAAGCAGAGGAACTATGGTTCTTTATAAGCAGTCAAGAGTACCATTTCTCATACTCTCCAAACAGCAGTCAGGGATTTATTTTCCCGGACTCAGATTATTACGTCGGCATTTCATTTTTATACATCATGACATGTGCATACATTATATATAACATAATCTCGTTTATTTCGAGAACATTATCACAATGCATTTCATGCATCGCATATAATTAACCCTGTTATCTTTTCAGGAAAGACAGTTATTTTCAACAATTTCCAACAGGTCCATGTTCAACACTCGAAGCTAAATAGAGTAATCATCGATATGCTAATTCCTCACAGAAGTCCTACACAGGCTCATCACAAAACAACCTTACCCAGGTTCCCTCTATAGTTTTACCCGAACTCATCTCGAAGTAACCCTACTATCCAGGTTCCTTCTCACAGCCATACTATCCAGGCTTTCATATCAAAGTAACCCTACTATCCAGGTTCCTTCTCACAGCCCTACTATCCCAGTTTTCATACCGAAGTAACTCTACCATCCAGGTTCCTTCTTACAACCTTACTATCCCGGCTTTCATACCGAAGTAACCCTACCATCCAGGTTCCTTCTCACAGCCCTACTATCTAGGCTTTCGTACCGAAGTAACCCTACTATCTAAGTTCCTTCTCGCAGCCCTACTATCCCGAATTTCATACCGAAGTAAC